TAGTCAGGAAGCCTTTGAATCCACCTGTAGCCTGCAAGCCTGGCTCATAGACACCTGCCTCCCTGAACCGAACCTATGTCAACCCCACGTGCATGGATTTACAATTTCTTCTAACTTCCGTCCTCCTAAAACGGAGGGAGCCAGGCTACAATTCAACCACAGCAGGCACGCGTTCTCAGGACCTCCTGGGGACAGTGTCAGGGGCCTAGGTCACTCCCATTGGGCTCAGAAGAACCCATCTTGAATATTTTACAGAATCTTTTATCAATAGTTGCCTCCCTGGCGATCTGTGATGCTGATGACAAGTTGACCTGGATAACACTTTGAATAGGCAGGGTTAAATAAAATAGACTCTTAAAATTAATTTCCTGTTTCTATTTATTTTTTATTTATTTATTCCGAGTCAGGGTCTCACTCTGCTGCCCAGGCTGGAGTACAGAGAAATGCTCACAGCTACCGCAGTCTTGACCTCCTGGGCTCGGGAGATGCTCCCACCTCAGCCTCCCGGGTAGCTGGAAACACAAGCACATACCACCACATTTGGCTGACTTGTTGATTTTTTTCTAGACACAAGGTCTTACCAAGTTTCCCAGGCTGGTCTCGAATCCCTGGGCTCAGGCAATTTTCCCGCTTTGGCTTCCCAAAGTGCTGGGATGACAGGCGTGCGCCGCCATGCCCGGCTTTTATTTTTTGATGTGGCCACTAGAAAACTGACAGCTGTGTACATGGCTCCTGTGGATTTCTCCCATGCAGCAGGGCCATGGCCGTTCGGGGCCTGAAGAGGACCGTCGTGCTCTCAGTTGAGCGGGTGGCAGGAAGTCCCATGCCACCATCTGAGCATGCCTGCCAGACACCTGCCACTCACTCCCACGGCCCCCAACACCACTGTCAGGCCTTCAACGGTCTCGCCAAGCAGGTACCCACAGCACATGTTACACTGTTGGAAACAGAGGCACAGAGAGGTGGACAACCTGCCAGGGGCCACAGAAGAAACACCAGCACTAAGGCTCGATCCTAGGTCTCACGTGCCAATCTCGGGCACTCTGGGGACAGGGGGTGGGCCAAGGCAGAACAGAGGAACTCTCCGGGGACCAGCCGGGTGCAGCCCTCGGGGGGGGGGTGGAGGGCGGCTTTATCCATGGGGCTGGGCCGAGCCCTCCATAACCCGCTCGTGTGATACCGGGACCATGAAGGCTGCAGACGGTCCCAGTAAGGACGGTCTCTCCCCGGTATGCTTTGAGTGGGTCCCACCTGGGACACCCACACCCTCCACCGGGGATGCTTCATGTCTCTCGTGGTCCCAGCATACTGCCCCTTCACTGTGATCTCCCCGGGGAAGCGTGGGATAGAGAGGCAGGGATGCGTCTTCTTCACCTTTAGAATTCCAGCTCCTGGCCTCGGGCCTGACACAGAGAAACTGCTGAGTCACCAGGGGACAATGGAATCAATGATTGAAGGAATGAATGAATGAAAGCACACATCGGACGCTCACATGGAGGGGGTCCCACTGGTCTCCTCAAACCACACCAGACGCCCCGGGAGACAGCTGCCTTGGCTCTAGTTCTTCATTTCCCCTCCAGACAGCCGCAGCGACTGGGGTCCAGGTGCGGCCAGAGGCGTCCTTTAGACGCACAAGGCCAGCCCCGTGCCTGCCATCTGGCTGTGGGCCGGAAGGTAAGAACTGGCCTATTCCGCCTCCTCATCCCTTCCATCCACCCACCAGCAGCCTGGCTTCGGAGCTAGGCTGTGGTCCCAGCTCCAGCCTTGGAAATTTCCAACCAAATCCTCCCCCTCACGCAGAGTCCAGGGAAGAAGCCGGGTTTCTTTTGTGTCCTGTGAATTGTCATCACGGCTAAATATTCCCCCCAAGTCCTCAGAGACAGGATCACAGGAAATCTCGTTTTCAGGCGAAAGAAGCAGGTGGGAGAAGGGGAGAAGTATGAAAAATTTATTAAACTCAAGCCCCTGGGACCAAACCACAGGTCGAAGCTTCAAATCCGTTCCCCCGCCTTGCAATATATGATCTGCACCTATAACAACTCCAGGCACAAGGAACTCGCTGGATCAAGGAGGTGCACTCTGCCGGGCACGGTGGCTCACGCCTGTCATCTCAGCATTTTGGGAAGCCAAGGCGAGAGGATCCCTTGAGCCCAAGAGTTTGAGCCTAACCTGGGCAACATGGCAAGACCTCATCTATACAATAAACAAAACAATTAGCCGACATCTGTCGTAATACTATAAAAAAAGAACTGACAGTGGTGGGAAACTATGGGGGGAGGAGAAGGGAGGTGGGATTAACGGTAGCCAATATCTGTCTGGGGACGGGGAGACACCCCTTATCAACAAGGGTGCCTGAACAAAGCATATTTGTATACCTAACCCTTAACTGTACCCCACAATATCAAAATAAAAAATACTGAGATTAAAAAAAAATTAGCTGGACGTGGTAGCGCTCGCCCGTTGTTCCAGCTACTTGGGAGGCTGAGGCAGGAGGATCTCCTGAGCCCGGGAGGTCAAGGCTGTGGTGAGCCGTGATTGTGCCACTGCACTCCAGCCTGGGCAACAGAGTGAGACCCCGATTCCAAAAAAAAAAAAAAGATTAACACACAGACTTGGGGTCACATCATGGCTTTGCCACCTACTAGCCAAGTGACATGGGCCAGTTTCCTTATCTGTAAAACAAGGACAGCCTCAGAACAGACCTCACAGAGCGGCTGTGGGGTGTGGGAGGCTGCAACTGCTTAAATCCCAGCAGAGCCCAGGCCCCGAAAAAGCTGGTAAGCTCTGCCCACCATCACTGCTGTTGTTACTTGGGTACTAATGTTCTAACAGTCACACAAGCCTGCCTGGCGAGGGACCTCGGGCAGGGGACAAGAAGACGCAGGGTCTGACCTTCTGATCTTAACCCACTAGACACGGTGCACCCTTTACGGCCCAGAGGCCAGATGGAG